TTACATTTAGTTGGGAATGTATAAATATTAAGGGGGGCGGGAAGGGGGTTATTTATTCAATATTTGAGATTGGGCCATTTTACAGGGGTCGGGCATTGAGGATATTCATCTCTGTTTCATCAAACTTAATAACATATTTATATGTACATATTGTGAGATTTCTAAATTTGACTGCTTTTTGTCTAATTTTCAGGCAGTGAATATGTCACAAATCTGCCTCTTCAGATGGCCCTGTATTTTAATGCTTTCTTTTCTCCCTTCTGGCTGGTGGCCACCCTTGTCATATTTGAAGTAAAAGTAAGTATTTTTCCCCCATTTTTATTTACTGATGATGATGATGCAACATTGTTAAAATTTTAATCATTGTTGAATAATTTCTTTTTTTCAGTATTCCACATTATCAACACTGTACGCAATCATACTTATCGCCATCTACATTGTCTTTACCATCATAGAGTTTGTCAGACTATATTTAGGATTTCTGGGAAACTTAACCGAGAGGGTAAGGAAAAAAAATTGGATTCGAAGTGCTTCATTACATTAACAAGATTAATTTAATACAGGTACATGTAACCTAGCATGTATATTCTCTGGTAAAGATGAATGTTATGTAGGCATTCTTTTCAGTTCGCCAGAGCTGAAAACTCAAACCAGCTTTTCTGATCACATTTTTTTCGTGTCTGTCTGTTCATCCATCCCTCTGTAAACCTTTCACAGTTACAACTTCTTCTTTAGAACCATTTGTCCAGCTTAAACCAAACTTGCCACAATTAAAGGAGTGAGGGGAGATAATTAAAAATTAGAGATTTTTTTTCTTAATATTGTTTAAGAATCAATCTTTTTCTCAAGAACTATAGGGTAAACAATTTTAATCTTACACGAATCCTTCTTTACATCGTGTTCATTCAAGTTTGTTCAAATCATGACCTCCAGGGGTTAGGTGGGGCCACAATAAGTGATCAAAGTTTTACATAATGATATTTAGGAATCGATCTTTGAAAGTCTTCGCAAGAACAGTAAAGCCATGATTAGTCGTATAAATAAGGAAACATCCTCAAGCAGTGTAAATTATAGTGTTCAGGTGAGCAATGTGTCCCATGGGCCTCTAATGAATTGGAGCAATATATCTTCTCTAAACAAAAAAGAATAGTGTGGGCCTATACCACTTTTATTGATAAAATGCACTTTGGATAGATATGATTTAAAAAATTATGTTTCTGTTTGATTTATTACTAGCATACATGTCTTGTAACATAACAATTTTATAACAAACCTAAGAAGGGTTCCATTTTTAGCTCTACTGGTCAGAGACCAGAAGAGCTTATGCGATAGTAATGCGTCTTGCGTCCGTCCGTCCGTCTGTCTGTCTGTCTGTCTGTCTGTCCGTCTGTCTGTAAACAATATTTCAAAACGCTACTCCTCCTACAATTTTAGTCTGATTTCAATATTACTTGGCACACAAGTAGACTACACTAAGATACATAGAATAGTGCATCGATTTTTGATTTCGATGAAAGGTGTTGCCGTGGTTACTAAAAATAGAATTTTCTGTGAAATTCCTTAAAAACGCTACTCCTTCTACAGTTTTGGTCTGATTTCAATATAACTTGGCACACAAGTAGACTACACTAAGATACATAGAATAGTGCATCGGTTTTTGATTTCGATGAACGGTGTTACCATAGTTACTAAAAATAGAATTTTCTGTGAAATTCCTTTAAAACGCTACTCCTTCTACAATTTTGGTCTGATTTCAATATAACTTGGCACACAAGTAGACTACACTAAGATACGTAGAATAGTGCATCGGTTTTTGATTTCGATGAACGGTGTTGCCATGGTTACTAAAAATAGAATTTTCTGTGAAATTCCTTTAAAACGCTACTCCTTCTACAGTTTTGGTCTGATTTCAATATAACTTGGCACACAAGTAGACTACACTAAGATACATAGAATGGTGCATGGGTTTTTGATTTTGGTGAACGATGTTGCCATGGTTACTAAAAATAGAATTCTGTGTGAAATTCCTTTAATACACTTCTCCTTCTACAGTTTTGGTCTGATTTCAATATTACTTGGCACACAAGTAGACTACACTAAGATACATAGAATAGTGCATGGGTTTTTAATTTCGATGAACGATGTTGCCATGGTTACTAAAAATAGAATTTTCTGTGAAATTCCTTTAAAACGCTACTCCTTCCTCAATTTTGGTCCGATTTCAATATAACTTGGCACACAAGTAGACTACACTAAGATACATAGAATAGTGCATCGGTTTTTGATTTCGATGAACGGTGTTACCATAGTTACTAAAAATAGAATTTTCTGTGAAATTCCTTTAAAACGCTACTCCTTCTACAGTTTTAGTTTGATTTCAAAATACGTAAGTTGGCACACAAGTAGACTACACCAAGATACATAAAATAGTGCAATGGTTTTTGATAAGTACAAACCAGTAGAGCTACAGTCTCGACAGAGACTTCTGGTTATCCTTTTCATTGTGCATGGACACATATATTTATTAGGACAAATTTGGTACAGATTTATTTCTCTGTTCAGTCATTTGCCACATTAGGCAAACTGATACCAGAGGTTTTCTAATCAATCCTCTCCGTTTCTCTACAGGTTCCTGAGTTAGCTGGCTCCTGGTTGTTAACTATATTAATACAGTTGCCATTGATAATGCTGCTCCTGTTCAATGAGGATGCCATCTTACTTCCCTTGGAGAGAGCTGTACATATTGTGATGGCTTTATTTGTGGTTTTTGAAGTAGTTTGTGGATATTTCGCTATCAGATTCATGGTGGATTATCAAGTGACAAAATTTCATCTAAAACAATTTTCAGACTTGGAAAACTTGCCGGATAGTGACTACTGGCAGGATAGATATGAATCCTACACGTGATACCTTCACCCCACAGTGTCCCCACCCATAAGTTACTTGTAAATTCGTATGTTTTAATGATATATGCAGCATATCTTTAATAAATGTAAATATTGTACAATTTAAAATAATGCAAGAAATTTGTGATATATTTATGTTCATGTATTTATTATTTTGTAGATATAATTCGGATACTGTGATTAAAAGTTAGGAATCTCATCCACAGTAATACATTTGTTGGATTATTTGTTGAAAGTGTAACAAAAAAGGCAATTTAAGTACAAGGGTACTCAATGACCAGGAAAAATATGTGTCGTTAATGTATTGATGCCTTTTGCTATCATGCAAAATGGATATTTCCAAAACATTTTATAACATCTATGTAGGCTGTATACATCTAGGTCAGGAAATACTGTTGGGCTTGTTTTGGAGACTATTTCTTGATCTGACAGCCTAATAAATAATAATTTTGACTAAAAGGTTAAAATGTTTAGGTCAGTGCCCCTCAACAGTGTGTTGGCTGATTCAGATGTCGACCTGCAGGTAGTAAAAAACCGAGTAGTAATCACATGACTTGTGCAAAGGTTTCATAAGTAAAACATCAAACTATAAACAAAAATGATTAATTTAATAGTTTGTATTGTACAATTTACCTTCATACACATATTATCATAGCATTAAATTTGATATCTTTATTCAGAAGTTCAAAATAATATAAATAAATTAAAAGTCCTTATCATAAAATGTAGGACAGAGCAACATGTGAGTGGACTTGATATCATAGTTCAAATGAATTGTCTTGTTTTACTGTTACTTCAGTAAACTCAATGCACCATGGGGAAAAAGGAACTCTAGAAATGAGGGTCCTCAATATTGGTCTTTTTTCCTCCTAACACCGCCTCCTCCCATTGGGATAGCTGTTCAATAAAACCTCTGTTTGGTCGGATTGTTTTGCAGCATTTCAGAACATGATCATAGGCTTCCTATAACAAATGGAGGAAACATTACTCTGCAATATTATAAACAGTCCAGTCCCATTATCAAGAACTCAATGGGACCAAGAAAAAAACTGAGAGATATTCAAGATACATTAAGAATGTGTTCTGGACTTGGCAAACCTCTTATAATTCTTAGATTGCCACAGTACAGCAAAATCAAAAACTAAATCAGTCTGCATATGTCTACACATTAAGTGGTTCTGATTATACTGCTTAAAAAGCACTGCCCCCAGTCTTAGTGATTTTCAAAATTAAGGAAAACAATTGCATGTAGGGGTACAAAATTGATGATACTGATAACCCCTACCAGGCTCTATGACTTCATCATTAAGTACTTTATACTTTCAGCAAAAGCAGAGTATCTTCTCTGTGACAAATTGCATTTACTGACTCACCTGAAGAGTCCATTTGAATTTGTAAATGAGATAAGCCAGAACAATAGTGGCACTCCGGCTGATTCCTAGGTTAGAGAATACTAACACAACCTCATTTTTGTCTTTGTGGGTATCTGAAAAAAAAAAAATTATAATTCAGATACATTTTAATTACTGTGGTACACATACCCGGTACTTTTATTCTGTAAAGGGAAATCAACACATTGTTCAGTCAATAATGGTAAATTTTCAGGAAAAAAAGTCAGAATATAAATTAACATTATTTACCAATAAATGTACAGGCAGTTTGGAATTTGCTATAGAGGTCTGCCTCATTATCATCTTCCACCTGAATGTGGAGCAAATGTGGACCAGGGTCTGAAAAACTTTCAAGAAAGAAAATATTTTTTATAATATATTTCAACACTGTAACAGTACCTAAAATTCAAGAAATCGGAAGAGTTATCTCCCTTATAAATAAAATGAAACTTATTGCAAGTAATAATTATGAACAGGAGTTATGTAATAAATTCAAACTTCATGTATATGTATACATATAATTCATTACATATCAAATGTATGTGATTTTTTGATTTGTTCAAATGTGTAGAAATTGCCATGTTTTTGACCTAATGGATTTAATTGGATATTCGAGCATTTTTTTTTTATTGAGAAACTTACAAGGTTTCTGATTCCACACAACAGTTTACATGTCCTTTCACTTTTAAGTCTTTCTGGATGTATGGAGCATTTCCTTGCCTCCAGTTTCCAAGATACAGAACCCCTGGCATGATTTCTGTTGGGTAGGGTTTCAAGTTGTCATCCATCTCCTGCCAAAAAGGATTTACTGTCTCAGTATGTGTTAAATCTTTTCAAATCAAGATATTGGAAAAAGTGTAAGCACAAGAATTTTACAAAAAAGATTTCTCTGCCAAATATGCTTGGAATGAGTGTTGTTTTCAAAAAAAAATTAGGTCAAATATTTAACTTATAATTATAAATGTATTTGGCTCACCCTTGGCATAAACATAATCTTTTGAGTCCGTAAAAATGGGTAGAGTGCTGAAAATTCTTCATATCCACCTAATAAAGAATGTTTGCTTTTAAGATATTTTTTAGGAATATCTTTTCAGAAATACCGGTACATGTATATTGAATATGTCATCAACTACAATATCATATTTAATCCATATTAATTTTAACACTGCGTCTAATCAATGTATTGCAATAAGATACAGCAGTATTTTTATATCATGATCTCAAGATGCAAATGTGCAGTGTACTGTTTATAAACACATACCTTTCAGAATTTTAACTTTGTTCCGACTACCCATGTCCCAGAGCATTCTTCCACAGTCTAAAGCAGGTGCTAGAGAATGAATGCAAACAATTTATATTTATTATTGTAAATATTTAGTTTAAAAAAATGAATTATTTACACTCAAACTAAATGTATCTGATAAGACTGAGGCCACTGTATTTATATTTTATTTGAAAATATTTAACAACTCAAATACTTGATTTTCAAGACTATATTTCAGAGGGAAAAAAATATAAATATATCTGAATATTTTATAAATATAATTCACAAAAAGACTTCCATAAATTTCAAAACATGTTTATCTTACCCTCTGGTTCTCTTAATGTTGAAGTATTACTGTCGTACACCACAATATTCTGTTTACATTCTAATTCAGCATCGTAGGGTAACACGAAATAACCATCTTCATTCTACAAATACATTGTAAACAAAGGTAATAAAAATACACAGAATCTAAATGTCTGGGATTCTTTTGTATTATCAGTCAAGGGATTGCATTATAACTATATTTTTTCTCATACAATTAAGAAAAAAAATTTGTCAGAAATTGACAATGAATAAGACCCTTGTAGCATATTTAATTCTTTTGATGCATTGTAACTACAGTTCATAAAGTTCAATGTAAAATAGAATTCTTTATTGATTTTTAAATTTATGTAATAATTTATTAAAAGTCATTTAAATTTACCTTTGGCACCTTTTTAGCAGTAACAACATGGCTTTCATTGTATTCATTTTTATTTCTTGCATCTAAAATTACAATTGATCAATGATCAGATTACCACATGTATTAAGTTTACTACATTTATTAAGTTTATCAGTACATTTTCATCATAATTTGCTAACTATAGTTACATAAAAACATCTTCGCTAGCCAAGGGTTTCTGAGGAGAGTAGCATATCAGAAACCCTTGGCTAGCGAAGATGACATAAAAATGGCTTAAATAAAAAATATACACATATACATGTATAAACTTATTCTTAACCTATAATTATAACAGCTGAGAAAAAAAAATACAGGACATTTTCTTTGTAGGATAGTATTTGAAATTATATTTCTTTCTCTCTCTCTCTCTCTTTTAGCTGGGGCTTGTTAAAAGACCAATGGCAATTGCAATAATCTATGCCCTAATGCCCTTTTATCAAAATTTTAATTTTAAAAAGCAATGTAAAGAAATCTACTACACTGTACATTAACTACTTCATATTCAAATTTAAACTATTCTGAAACCAAAAAAAAATGTAGAATAATTTTGAAGTTTGTCTACTTGTCTTTTAATATCTAACAAGTTGACACACATGTCCAACAAGTTATTATTATTTGAGAAGTAGACTTAATTTTCTAACTGTCAATTAGCATAGAGCTGAACAAAAAAACTTTGGTATCACAAACATTTGATATCTCAAATACCATGGATATGTTGAAGTGATGTAGAAGTCCAGTAGCATTTTTTAAATTACCCTCAAAATCTCAATTCCTTGGATATCTCAAAGGTTTTTCTTCCTCCATTTGAGTTCAAAATAACAAAATATGATTGTAATTTTCTGACAACACAAATATCTGACAACTTGATAGCTGCAGAAACTGTAGTGTTATGATTATGATTTTATATCTAAGTCTTTGACCATGATGCTACAGATCTCATAATGCAAATACATCTATTGTGCATTTTACTACTCAACTATATGTTTAATCTATTTCCTAATCCATTATAATTGTCTGTAAAGACCAATAAACTACCTGTGTTTGATTTTTCTGCCATTTGACAAAAAATATACAGGATGGGTATTTAGGAAAATTAATTAGGTGTATATATATATAGTGAAAGGTGGCTGGTTGTCCAATGCTGAAAAGTAGAGAAATGCTCCCAAACATGCACAGAAAATCTTGTACCATAAGTTGTACAATATTTGCATTACAGGATCTGTAGCATTATGGTCAAAGACTTAAATATAAAACCATAAAGCCTCTCAAGTTCTGCAGCTAATATCTGACAATACCTGACAAGCCATTATTAACTGACAAGCCAACACGAATGCATGACAAGTCCTCTTATCAATGAGAAATGATTATATGTATAAGTTTCAGACAGAACTGTCTACTACTAAGATGTTTTGTTGATTTGCTAATTGTTATATCCATTTGTCATATTTATTTTGTTGATTGTCATATATATATATGTTATATACACATACCCATTAACAGCATATAATTAGGATCAGTTAGATTAGAGAAAATCGTTGCCTGTTGAAGCATGTTGTACATCTCTGTTGGTTCCAGTAACTCTAAACCTTCCTCCATGGTGTTTTACTATGTAAATATGTTTACAACCTAACTCGTGTGTGCATGCGGCGGATCACTGTCTTTGTAAACACTTCCCTACGCTTACACTATATAATTCTCTATTAAAACTCATATTTACTTTTTTTAAAAATAAGGATTTCAACAGTATTTATTTCAAAGTGTTTAGAGGGTTTAATTGTAAAAAATGAATAACTATTTTCATTCATTTTCTT